GAAATGGGGATTTGGAAAGACCTTTTTTTTTTTTTTTTTTCTTTCCGTATTGCCACTTTTAATTTGTTGTTCTTGAAATAAACAACTTGCACACACTCCTTTTCTGAAAAAAAAAAAAAAAAATCAACACACCAAGCACCACGCATACATTTATTGGATTTGTTGCTAAAATCTATATATAATGCAAAAAACAGAGAATGGTGAAACATTCAAAATACCAGAAAATGTCCTTAGTAGCAAACATTAAGAATTGAAATTATTAATTAAATGAGGATAATATGGTAAATTCACTTTTTTCATATTAAAAAAAATTAAAATTAAAAGAAAAATCAGATGATGGATCCTATTTTTATGGAAAACAACTACCCATTGTCTTTTTTAATTCTAAAATAAAATTTTAATTTTAAAAAAAAAAGCCTCTCGCAAGCGCAGAAGCGCGTGCGGAGAGGCTAGTATAGGTATTAAACCCGAAACTCCCGGCAGATGATGGCCAATAACTCAAGGAAAGGAAAGAAATTGGTTACATTTTCATATGGTCTCCTCTTTCTTATAGTTAGGGGAATAAAAAATTGTTAAAGCACTAATTAGTTTCCATTCCCATTTTTAATTAAAATTTATTAATGCTTTAACAATTTTTTTCTGTTACATTACATAAAAAAGAAGATCATACCCAATGAAATATTCCTTAAGAAAAGAAGAAAATAAACTAATTTGCCTTAGTTACGCTTTTGTAACCTCATGGGAGTGGTTGCCAACATAAACGGTATGCTTGATTACTTTCAGGGGCCTCTCCTCCCCTCCATATGAAGATCCATTTGTAAGTACAACATCATTTTGAGCGTCGGTAGTTTGCTTCTCTTCAATGGAGCCAACACTATTGCATTTTATTTGTCTATTTCCATGCCATTGGGGATCCTCTTGGTTACCGATAAAAAAAACCAACAAGCCATATCCCTTTGACTTCGAGCAGCCAGTTTTGTGTTAGACCAATAAGCAAGCAAATAAAGTTGCAAATGTAACCTCTGGACTAAGGGTATCTCCAATCAATATGTTAAATTGTCACATGGACATAAAATAATAAAAATTAAAGGTTAAAGTTGTTCCAACTGAATAGTCAAATCATATATGAATTTGAAGGCTGGAAAAGATATGTCAAAAATATCATATCAAAAAATTTGGCCAGAGGTCCTTGTAATTTGGCACTTCAACCACTTTTGACCCTGTAGTTTCAATTCCGTCAATTTTGCCTCAGTAGTTTCGTATTTGTAGCAATTTAAGGACATGTTAGTATTCCTGTCAATTTCTTTAACGATGCAAGGGGCAATTTTTTCAACCCAAAACCCTTGAGCGTAAAAGTTTGTTTGAAATTCTCCCAATTTCATATTAGGGCTCGAAACTCAACCACTAATCCCAATTTTTGAAGAACCCTAAACCCAAATGACCAATTTCAAGCCCGAATATGAAATTAGGGGATTTTCAAACGAGCTTTTATTCTCAAGGATTTTGAGTTGACGAAATTATCCCTTGCATTGTCAAAGAAATTGACAGGAATACTAACTTGTCCTTGAATTGCTTCAAATATGAAACTACATGGTCAAAATTGACGAAATTGAAACTACATGGTCAAAAGTGGTTGAAGTGCTAAACTATAGGGACCAAAAGTTTGATGTCAAATATTTTTTTAATATTTTTTTTAGTCATGGACTCGATTATCATTCACTCTCTTTTAAAACTTTATGCATCAAATGGGCCCCATTTGTTTTTTAAAATATAATAAAATAATATGATATTTGGCATTTCGAGTGGAGTTAAATTTTTTACAAAGTGTCAAATTACTATATAAGCCTTCAAATTCAAATTTAACATTTTCCTTTTGACGTCTCCCTTGGAGATGCTCTAAAGATCACCAAATGTAACCTCTGAAAAATCGTAGGTTAAAGAAAAAGAAATGCGAAAAGTTTTTCCAAAAAGATCAAAAGTGGTATTAGAGAATTATAACAAGGGTAAGCTAATCCTACAAAGTTACATTAAATACTTTCTTAGGTGGGGAAAAAAATTTCCCAAGCTCAACCAAAGATATGAAATTTTCCCTCATAGGTTTCACTAATTAGTATAAAGTATAACAACTCTGGGTTAAAATATAAAGTATAACATATCTGTAACTAATAAAATCCTTTTGACCTTTTAGTCTATACGTAACCCAACAAATGTGATATATTTAAGCAATAGAACTTAGAGGTCATCATATGGCTAGCGGCTCGCAGGTTGAAGTGGATATCTCAGCCTGACCTGATGGTTAGGCTCGTTCAGCCTAGTTCGTTTTAAGGTTGGGTACGAATTAGACTTAGGTTTTGAAACCTCTAATTCACTCTCGACTCAATCCGACAAGGCCAGCTCATGGCCCAGTCCAGGCTGAGTCAGCCTGCCCATTTGCCTTGTTTTGTTTTTATTTTTGGTTTTTTGGTAAATACCACGAGGTGTCCCCACACCCGAATGGTAGGATTAATCCCTACTCAGGGTTCAGCTTGCCCTGGCCACAAAGTGCTCCCAATTGGTTCGAACCCTTATGATTGAGGCACCAAATAGTTCTCTAGCTATATGTAGTAGTTTGCCAACCACACCACATCTTGTGGTTACCTTGTTTTGTTTTTGGCCAAACCCCCTGGCCATAAAGTGCTCCCAACTGGTTTTGAACCCCTGCTATTAAGGCACCAGGCAGTTCGACAACTAGAGATGGCAATTTGCCAACTGCACCACACCTTGTGGTTACCTTGTTTCTTTTTTGGTTTTTCCTTATATTGCCTTTTTTCCATTCTAAACATTTAAGTAAATTATTAGAATAATATATTGTAATTGATATGTTATTATTGTAATATGTTAATTATAACTGTACATAGAGTAGTTACTTGATATAGGTAGACATATCCAAATCAATCCCTATGATTGAGGATCACACTACGGAGATTTTGTAATATTGGTAGTATATATTTTGTTGTACTCTACTATTGACAATACAACAAAACCTTTCAACCAAACATTCTTTACATGGTATCAGAGCAATGTCCTGGTGCCTGATTTCCTAACCTTTTCAAAACCCTCCAGCAAACCTGCAACCACCATGTCAGACAAAGAACAAGCACCAGAAACCAAGCAATCCAATTCCAAAAATTCAAGCAATAGCAACAGCAATTCTGGTATGGATACATCAAATCCATACTATGTTCATTCTTCAGACCACCCTGGTCATATGCTCGTTCCAACAAAATTGAACGGCGCCAATTATCCACCTTGGAGTAAATCCAAGATTCATGCCCTCACAGCCAAGAACAAAATTGGCTTTGTCAATGGATCCATTAAGCCGCCATCAGAAACAGAAAACCCCACAAAATATGCTTTTTGGAATCAATGCAATAGTATGATTTTATCATGGTTTGCTCACTCTGTGGAACCCGATCTAGCCAAAGGGGTTGTCCACACCAAGACCGCTCATCAAGTATGGGAAGATTTCAAAGACCAATTCTCACAAAAAAATGCGCCAACAATTTATCAGATTCAGAAGTCCATCGCCTCTCTCACACAGGGCACCATGACAGTCTCAGCCTACTTCACAAAACTCAAAGGCCTTTGGGACGAATTAGAGACATACAGAACTCCTCTCACTTGCAATGAGATGAAAGCTCACAACAAAGAAAGAGAAGAAGATAAGATGATGCAATTTCTTATGGGCCTTAATGACACATTCAGTGGCGTTCGCAGCAGCATCCTCATGATAACACCATTGCCCAAAGTCCGTCAAGCTTATTCACTTGTCATTCAAGACGAAACACAACGACAGATGACATCGGGAACAACCGAGAACTTTTCTATTGCCACAGCTATCCAAAGTCGTCCAAACAATTCCAAAAATAAACATTGTGATCATTGTGATCGCAATGGTCACGTAATTGCATATTGCAGGCAATTAAAATTCCATTGCAATTTTTGTAATTGAAACGGACATACAGAAGACACCTGCCGATTCAAGGATGGAACCTACACATCAAGTGGACAAGGAAATCATGCCAGGAATGAAAACCAAGGGTCCAATTGAGGTGCAAACTCACGCCGAAATTCTGGTTTCTCTGGTAGTCACACGCGCACCTTCACACAGCAATCACATGGGTTTGTTCCACATGCGGGCTCATCATTCCCATCCGCACACGCGGCCCAGCAAGTTGGCTCTTCAAGTGTCACACAGCCTTCACAAAATCCAATTCAAGCTCCAGACTTTTCAGCTCATACATTCTTGAGTGGACTTACTTCTGAGCAATATCAACAATTGGCCACAGCCATGTCACTAGTGAACACCAATGCATCATCCTCTGGTAATAACCATGCATTTGTGAATGCAGTAGGTCTGTCCACTTTTTCTATCCCTTCAATTAATTCTGTTTCTAGCAAACCTTGGATTTTGGATAGCGGGGCTACAGATCATATTACATCTGATTCTACACTTTTCACAAAAACTCAACCATCTCACACTCCCATTGTTAACTTACCCACCGGTTCTTCCGCACCAATTACTTCAGTTGGCACAACTCCTTTTAATAACACCATCACCTTAGATAATGTTTTGTGTGTTTCTTCCTTTCATTTGAATTTAATGTCAGTCAATAAAATTACCGACTCACTCAATTGTTGTGTTATTTTGTTTCCCACATTTTGTGTCTTACAGGACTTGGCTATCGGGAAGATGATTGGTATGGGTAAACAACGTGGTGGTCTATATTACATGTCGCCTTTGCCAAGGATACCTATTTCCTGTCAAGTTTCACAAACCTCCAATTTATGGCACCTTCGTCTCGGACACCCTTCACCTGCTTGTTTTCAATTACTTTCTTCATTGCTTCCTTCAAAAATTGTTTTGGTTGACAATAATTGTGGCATTTGTCCTATGGCTAAACAAACAAGAATTCCTTTTCCATTGAGTTCTATTTCATCGAGTTCAGCTTTTGACTTATTACATTGTGACATTTGGGGTCCACATAAAATAGCCTCTCATTCGGGGGCTCGTTATTTTTCTAACAATTGTTGATGACTTTACTCGATGCACTTGGCTCTTCTTGATAGTTCACAATTTGAAACACAAACTCTTCTCAAATCTTTTTTTACTTTTGTCAAAACTCAATTCAATTTCAACGTTAAAGCCATTTGCACTGACAATGGTTCAGAATTTTTATCCATGAAAGAGTTTTTGCAAACCAATGGAATTGCACATCAACGATCATGTGTTCACACTCCACAACAAAATGGAGTTGTTGAGCGCAAACATCGTCACATTCTCAATGTTGCCCGCGCTATCCGTTTCCAAGCCAATTTACCTCTCAATTTCTGAGGGGAGTGTGTTTTAACTGCTGTCTATCTCATAAATCGTTTGCCCACTCCATTATTGTCCAATAAGTCCCCTTTTGAGTTGCTCTATCACCAGCCACCAACCTTTAACCATCTTAGAGTTTTTGGGTGCCTTTGTTATGTTACTGTGACTCATCCCTTACAAAAATTCGATGCTCGTGCCACACCCTGTATTTTTGTTGGCTATCCCATGGGACAAAAGGGCTACAAACTTTTTGATCTGCACACCTCCAAATTTTTCGTCAATAGAGATGTTCAATTCCATGAACATATTTTTCCTTTCTCCACTATCCCACCTCAACCTGCTTCCTCCACTCCTATCATTCCTAACCCAATTTTTGACATTCAACAACCACTTTCTATAAATCCCATTTCATCACGCCATGAGTCCATGACATCACGTGTCCACCTCCTGCCATCTCAATCCCAACTAGCATTAACACACCTACCCATGACACCACATGTCCACCTCATGACGCCTCCATTGTAGAACCTACCAGCCTCACTCCTTCCTCTCAACAACCCCACCCTGCCACCACCAGTCAGGTGGATCCCAACACTTCACCTATCTCCCATTCATCTGACCACACCTGGCCACTTCTTCATTTTCCATCTTAACCAACATTACTTAGTTCACCTCATTCATCTCCCACGACTCCAACTCGTCATTCCACTCATCCAAGGCAGGCTCCCGTATGGCACAACATTACCACATGTCCAACCATGCCTCTTCATCTGCCCAGTCGCCATCTGCTGTTACAGGTACAAAATACCAACTCTCTCATTTCTTGTCTTATTCTTGCATTTCATCACCCCATTATATACCTTTTTAACTAACATTTCAGGCACCACTGAACCCACTAGTTATGCTCAAGCTATCCTTTATCCCAATTGGCAGCAGGCCATGCAAACAGAATTAGATGCTTCGGCACAAAACAATACATGGACTCTTGTCCCATTGCCACCTGGACATAAACCCATTAGTTGTAAATGAGTTTTCAAACTCAAATATAAATATGATGGCACCATTGATCGTTACAAAGCCCGGCTTGTGGCCAAGGGCTACACACAGGTGGAAGACATTGATTACCAGGAAACATTCTCTCCTACAGCCAAACTCACCACACTGCGTTGTCTTCTCACTGTTGCCGCTGCTCGTAATTGGTTCATCCATCAATTAGATGTTCATAATGCCTTCCTCCATGGCGATTTGCACGAACTCGTGTACATGGACCCTCCTCCCGGACTTCACCGACAGGGGGAGAATACTGTATGTCGGCTCAATAAGTCCCTTTATGGACTTAAACAGGCTTCCAGGAACTGGTTTTCCAAATTTTTTGGTGCTATTCAACAGGCAGGCTTTCAGCAGTCAAAATCCGATTACTCATTGTTCACCAAGGTTCAAAATAATTCTTTTACAGCAATTCTTATTTATGTGGATGGCATACTTCTCACAGGGAATGATTTGCAAGAAATGGAGCGTCTCAAATCTTTTCTCCTCAAGCATTTTCGCATCAAGGACCTTGGTGATTTAAAATACTTCTTGGGTATTGAGTTCTCTCGTTCCAAGAAAGGTATTTACATGTCTCAAAGGAAATACGCTTTGGACATATTACAAGATGCAGGTCTCTTAGGCTCTCGCCCAGATAAGTTTCCAATGGAGCAAAATCTCAGACTCACACCCACAAATGGAGCTTTATTCAATGATCCTATGAAATACCAACGGTTAGTGGGACGCTTGATCTACCTCACTATAACAAGGCCCGACATAGTATTTTCAGTTCGGACATTGAGTCAATTCATGCATGAGCCTAGAAAACCACATTGGGATGCAGCACTCCGTGTTCTTAGATTCATCAAAACTTCTCCAGGTCAAGGCTTATTATTTCCTGCATCAAACAATCTTGCTTTGAGAGCTTACTGTGATTCAGACCATGCCGGTTGCCGTACCACAAGACAATCTGTCACAGGTTTTTGTATTTTTCTGGGAAATTCTCTCATCTCATGGAAATCCAAAAAGCAACAACATGTTTCTCGTTCATCCGCAAAAGCAGAGTATCGAGCCATGGTTAACGCTTGTTTGGAACTCACTTGGCTACGATACATACTACATGATCTGAGAGTCCCTAAGGTTTACCCGGCTCCATTATATTGTGACAATCAAGCTGCTTTATATATTGCTGCGAACCCTGTATTCCACGAGCGCACCAAACATATTGAGATAGATTGTCACATCGTTCGAGAAAAGCTGCTTGCCGGACTGATCACTCCTTCATATGTTCCTTCCCACGCTCAGTTAGCAGACATTTTTACGAAGCCTTTGGGAAAGAACGACTATACCAGATTAAGCAGCAAGTTGGGACTTCATGACATTCACTCTCCAACTTGAGGGGGAGTATTAGAATAATATATTGTAATTGATATGTTATTATTGACTGTACATAGAGTAGTTACTTGATATAGGTAGACAGATCCAAATCAATCCCTAGGATTGAGGATCACGCTACGGAGATTTTGTAATATTGGTAGTATATATTTTGCTGTACTCTACTATTGACAATACAACAAAGCCTTTCAACCAAACATTCTTTACATAAATGTTTTGTCTTTTAATTTAATTTGTTTTTATATTACTCCATTTATTTAAGTTTACAATGTAAATAAGGAAGTACCCCCTATTTGGATTCAAATAAAAATACTAGAAAATCAAATTCCCAACAAATCAAAATATGAAAATCCAATTTTAGTATAAGATACAATTTAAGTAAATGGATTTTCATATTTTGATTTTTTAGGAATTTGATTTTCTAGTATTTTTAATTGAATCCAAATGGGGGGTACTTCTTTATTTGCATTGTAAACTTAAGTAAATAGAGTAATATAAAAACAAATTAAAGTAAAAAGACAAGACATTTATTTAAATTTTTGGAATGGAAAAAAGGTAAGGCAATATAAGGCCAAAAAAAATAGGCAATGGGCGCCCATGGATGGCTTGACCTGAAAAGCCCACTTAGCCCCGGCCCTATAGACGGGCTTGAATCGATCTATTTCAAACCTCGATCCAGCTGATTACGAAACCTAATAGAATTACTATATTAATTCAATAATAATTCATAACAATTAATACATATATTATTTTATTAACCGTATTAGGGGTCGTACTTAGAGGTGTCAAACAGACCGTGTCGAGTCAGTTCGGTTTGTTTAGAGTCTGCCCATTTAGTTAATGGGTCATGCCGTACCAGCCTATTTAGGAAAATCATCAATCCCTGCCCGAGTCCACATGGGCTAGGGCCATGTCCATGCCGAGCCACTAAACGGGCCGATATGAGCCCACGCCAAATTTGACTTATGTATTGCATTTTTTTTTACTACTTCATTTAAATCTTTTTAACAATAATGTATATGCTAATAATCTATATATATAAAGCAAAAGGCAGATAATGGATCATATTTTTATGGAACACAACTACCCATTATCTTTTTTAATTCTAAAATAAATTAAAATTTTTTTTTTTTTAAAAAAAGCCTCTTGTAGGCTCGGAAGCGCGTGCAGAGATGCTAGTATTTATTATTTATTAAGAAAAAGAGTTCAATAACTTTATTTAAAGTATATTTAAATAGAAAATGACTTCATTATTGTTTGGGTTTTAAAAATTGAAACTGAAAAAAACAAAATTATAATTTTATATATAAAGAAAATATTAATTTTTAATATATATTTTTGAAGAAAAAAAAGACTTAAATATAAGATATAAATGTAATAACATTATGTATTATTTTTCACGAAAACAAATATAATTTAATAAATGAGTTTTAAATGGGTCGGCCCGTAAGATTTTGGACCAGTGCAGCCCACGATGAGCCACAGGTCAGCCCATTTGACTTAATTATCTTGTTTCGATACGGTCCAAAGATATGAATCATGTCATGCTGGCCCTTACTTAAGCGGGCCATGTGCGTGCCGTGTTGGGCCACCCGATCCGTTGACACCTCTCTTACTACAAGTGCAACATAGGCAAAAACCAACTAATCTCAGTCGACCCTCTCCTAAAGTTCCCTCCATCCACCAGTAGCCATTTTGACGGACCCTTTGATCTAGAGGTCCCTCCCCTTCGCAATCTTTTCCAGTCTATTGTGTCATCTCCGTTGGCTCCACTGGTGAACCCAGGAATTTTTCGGCAAAGGTGCAATTTTGAAAGGCTAAAAGTTTTAAAAAAATTTGACAACCAAATAACCTTATAATTTAAACAATACCAATTTCATTCATATGCCGAAAATAAAATTGGCGCGACAGTTGATGAAGAAGGAAAAAAAACCGCAACATGTTTCATCATTTTTTTTTCTTCTAGATTAACTATGAATTACATTTGAATGTACTTTGAAAGCTTGATCGATACAATATTTTCTTTCTTGGCACAAGACTTAATCGATCAATCAGTTTTTATAAAAGACTTAGAGTTCTATAAATAAATAAAAAACAACAATAATGGTTTTGATATTGCCCAAGGACTGAATAAAAAAATAATAATAAACTTGTCATTTTTGGAAAAAAAAAGAAAAAGAAAAGGAGAAAGGAACCAGACCTAAAATTGCTTAAATATTCAAATTTTAAAGCAAAAGCAAGGACTCCATCTCCGTTGAAATTCATATTAGGATTTGGGATGAGTATCTTGCATGATTAAAAACAAATTGGGATTTGCTGCATGTCAGTGATATCACCTTGCATGGCTTCTTCAAATTGGATTGGGAGGCTTTTGTTCCGTGTCGGCAGTTTGCAGGTTACTTTTTAAATTGTTTTTTTTACTGGCCTAAAATGATGCGTTTTGGGCAAGACTTTTTAAAAAAAGTAAGGCGCTACGCGCAACCCAGCAGCACAACAACATTAGCCAGCGAAAGAAGAATATTGTTCAGGCATTTGCTCGAGCAGTTGGTGGGCACCAGAGCATAGGGGCAACTCCGGCACCTCCAAAGCTTTTTCCAACGAGGGGAGGTGCAGCTGCACCTCCTTGCGCCTCTGTGGGTCCGCCACTGGTTGACTCCATACTTTTCTCTTACCTCTGATCAGGGACGAATCCAGGAATTTTCCTTCCAGGGGTCAACATCTAAAAGGTTAAAAAATTTCTATACAAAATAGACCCATACATTTTTTTATATTAGAAAACCCTTAATTTATTCAAACTAACAGTAACTAACCAAAATTAAACCTCCTTGGGAAAAGAAAAAAAAAAACCTCAACAACTAATCAAGAAAAACATCAATATTCATCCCATAAAAATAAAACAAGAAATCATCATTCATATATAATTCATTGAGAAAACAACATTACAAAACACATATTAAATCAATCCACCATATTTTTATTAACTCTATTAACCAATCCACAAAAACAAAAACCTTATATTAAAATACACAAAGATTCAACTCCTAAAGTAACAAACTTTAAACCTATCAACCTACTAAGAAATATTATAAACATTGCAGGACAGTCAACAATGTAATTTATCTTGGTTACAAACTATATCGATATATTGAACCTTATTTATGTTTCTAATATTGAAAAAATTTAAAAGCAAGACAAAAACAAATTATAAAATAGAATGAGCTAAAATTAAAGAAAAATAAATGAAAAGGAAAAAAATGTAAAATAAAAAGTAAACACAAAGTAAAGAGCAAAAGGAACAAAGACAAAAATATATACAAAAAGAAAAAACTGAAATGAAAAAGAAGAGAAAAAGAAAGATTGGGAAAGAGAAAAAAAAAAAAGAAGAGAAAAACAAATTGAAAACATAATAGCGTATTGCGTTTGAAATGTCCAATGTATTGGGGATTGTGGGGTTTATCGGGTAGCAGCTCCATTGCTTGCTGTTGCCCCTGTTTATTTTAATATGTTAAAAAACAAAAAAAACTTAAATGAAACGGTGTCGTTTCTCCATGAATCAAAATACCAAAAAAAGGAAGCGCTGCAATGCGGCTTGCTGCGCTGAAGTTGAAGTTGCTGCAACCCTTTGAGGCATTTCCTCGAACAGAGGCTCTGATGGAGCTCGACTTTGGAGTCTCCTTTTGTCGGTTGCTGAGCACTCGTTTCTTGCAGCGGATGCGGCGGCGGCGGCTGCGGCCTAGGGGTTTTCAGTTTTCTATTTTCTTGGCCGTTTTCGTTTGGGGTTGCGGTGGTGCATATAAGCTGACAGGAGACTGACTATTTTATTGACTTGGAGAAGAAGAATTTTGACCATGCCTAGCTTTGAGAGCCAAGATAACCATTTTTGGTCACGAGCTAGACACTTCGAGCTCACGGACGAACAAATTGCAAATGCAAATGTAATTCACCAATTGGTGAAAGACACTGAGTTCTACTTTCTCTCTGCCATCTACTCTCCATTTTCATTGAAAATGTATACCGGCAGCTTGCCATTGGAGACCTATGAATTCTACAGAGCCCTAGAATTACACATCATGCAAAAGCTAATTGAAGCGTGAGTTTCTTCTATTAAATTTATCTGTTTTTAACTTCTTTTTTTTAGGTATTTTTGTGGATTTAATGATCTACAATTTTAGGTTTTCAATCCTGCGTGAAACTTGCAATGGTTATGATGCCCACATTCTTCTTCAGTTGGAGGCACAACTTAGTGGGGAAGCAAAGCATAGATTGGAAACAGAGGTAATATATTCTCCTGCTCTGTACTGAAGGATTTTGGAAGTTTATTACATGGATTTTTTGGTTTTCAAAGTTTCATGTTACTGACTTGTGTGCATAAATTGGTTATATTATTCTCTGATGGTGTTTTGTAATCATAGTGAATTCTTTTTTATCCATGCTGTATGATATGATGCCATAATTCATGTACTTTCCAATTAACAAAACAAGTAACTGAATCCATGGTAATGTGAGATAAAAATATCAGAAGTAGAGTTCTAATACAGAGGAGGAAGCAGCCATGGGATTGAGGAGTCTCAATTCACATGTTGTTGCAGTACTAATGATGTATGGGGAATTTAAAGGGCATGTAGGGACCCTTTGGTTATTAATGTTCTTTGGGGAGTTGAAAGGGTTTAGGTGTCTATATTAATTAATCTTGTTTGGGGACTAGCTGTTATTTTTTATGTATATGGACCCTTTAATTACTGCATGTAGCTATTCAAAATGCTTAACCTTCTTCCTATATTGTGTGAAGCAGTTAATTGCTAAGCTTAATGAGGAAGATCTACCTGAAGCAGTTTCTATATTCACGGAAGAACTTTTAATGCAAGCCGAGTTGTCTGTAGTAGGATCTTCTGACGATCAAACTATTGCCTACACCGTTGCTACTGTGGCAGCTTGGTTGAGACTTTACCACGTTATAGGTCAGCATTTTATGAATTGGATCCGAGGCAAGATTGAAGGCAATCACCTATACCAAGACTGGTTTGACCGAGGTTGGTTCAAGTTTTTTGGTTGCGTTCATCGAAACTGGTTTGATTTTTATGCTTCTGCTGAGTTTAAGGAGTTGGTTGTGCAAACTGAATTCCTTCTTGATCAATCATGTCAGAATTTGTCCAAGGTCCAGCTTCAAATACTTGATAATCGCTATAGAACTAGCCTAAAAGATGCAGTATCTTTCTTTTCCCACGAATCTGTGCATGCATCTGTCCGAGCTGTAGTTCCTATTCTAGCAAAGCCTCCAAAAAGATCTGATGTCTATTTGATTTGTCAGTTGGCTAGTGTAATTTCATTTAAGCAAAATTGTAGCCCTTCATATGATTCAGGTCTTCTAGTGGAGCTGGAACCAAACTATCAAAACTTGGTGAAAAGCTTAACTCCTATTGTGTCGGTGGTGGGCTTTGACAATGTAAAAGTGGGAGAAGTTTTTGATAGCCTTTCACAATTAAGAGAAATTTTATATCGAAATGTTGAAGAGTCCCAGAAGTTGGTTGGTATTGACCGAAGGCATATGCATAAGACTTCTTGTGAAAACGTTTCGGTTAACCCAGACTTTATTTCACTGATCAATAAACTTCACAACAAGGAGGACTTCAATGGATTTGTTCATGTCTACTCGCTGGATTTTTCCTCAGACTTCGTCTCTAATATTTTTGAAACAGGTAGTTTACTTCTAGATATTCATAATCTTTTATATGTTTGTACCTTCTAAAACGCTATGATCTACAGGCTTTGCTTCTATCTTATTCACATGCTTGCTTCCAAATGTTTGTACTGAATTAGAAAATTCTACATTAAAATTATGATTAAATTTATCTGATACTTTTCCTGCATGCATTAAACTAGTGCTCAAATTTTTGTAATCTCCTTTCATATTATAATTCTTAGTCCTAATGCTAATTTTAATATATTTGCTAAATTCTTTTATTGCCATTACATAATTTGGTATGCATCGTATGACTGCTATATTGGTACTAAGATCTGCTTCTGCTGTTGCTATGGCAGCTTGCAAGTAATTATCCCACCTATCATCATATATGTATACAAGTGCTTTGGTACCTACTTGTGCCCTAGTCAATCCTGCTATTCCTATCATTATGGTTCCTATATGAATTTGCCCATAATGTGATTTTCTAAGTTGCTCTATTGCCGGCTGACTTAACAGATTAAGAGTAACTTCCTTATCTATACAACTTACTTCATGCTGGCTTATGCTACTTACTACACTATTTTTATTTTCAAATATACCTAGTTGATACAGGCTACTCTTATTTTTCTGTGTTCTTTCGAAACCTTTTCTAAGAAATTATTGTGCTTCAATTTCATTTGAATAAATATCTTCTGCTCTTACTGCTAATTTTCTTTCCTTCTGAATATTTCCATTTGCTATTATCTAAAGGATTAAGTCTGACTCTTCTAGGCTGACTACTTGATCCTACGGTTAGATTTTCTAATTTTTGGATTACTGATGAAGTGTAGGGGGACTACTTGCTCACTTATTTCTAGATTGAGATATTCTATCATAAAATTTACCTAAGCCTTCCTCTTTCAAATTCTATTGCCAACTGATTTTGTAAAAATTCTTTTGCTCTTATTTCTCTTTCTAGATGTCTTTGACTGTGCTCTAATAACTCTCTTTGAATTGGTTTTACTTGTTCACTAGTGGATGGATCTTCTAATGTGTCCCTATAAATTTTTTGTCTACATTTTAAATATTTAGTATTCTTCTTTACGTCTGTTAAATAGCTCTTAATACTAGCTATAGTGGGATGTTATGGACAATATAAACCTGGTAAATATACTCCTGGTCTACAAGGACAAGGGGGACGACCCATGAAACTTATCTAGATCGACCTTTTTCTTTTAGTATACCCAGTTGAGTTTGAGATGCTTCTATGGACTCTGTTAATACTTCTATATGATACTGGACTCTAATAATACTATTACAGACTTCAATCTTCCTTTGTGGGTAGTTTGCTATATCAGGCTGTTCTATTAAATCTTCTAAGTTCTTTAGCTCTGTCTTTATTCAGTTTTTTGTTTATACAGTTGTTGTAACCTTTCTTTAATTCTAATAGGTGTCCACTGTTCTCCTATTCAAAATTTAATTGATTCTTATTCTTGGTGGTTTTTGACTTGTGGAGTAGAGATGAGCAGGGGACTGTTGCATTGCTCTGCAAACCAGATATTTTGGCATAATGAGGAGGGCATATCAACAGGTCAAGTGTCTCGAGTTTTGAAGTATCCGGGTCACTTGGCGTTATTACCGACGATACTATTACCTGAGTGCATCACGATTTGTGTAGGATGTGTTGTAGATGACCTACCTTGCCTCCTTAAGGCAGATATAGGTATAGTTGTTGAGCCGGCTGAGAGTCTTATTGCACTTGGGAACAACTTTGGAGTTAAGTTTCTCCCTCTGCTGGATATGCTGCTGATGAAACAGAAAGATTGCGATATTGGAGAAGTTGTAGGGTGGAAACATCAGGGTAGTGGTTTGTTGTTTGTAGGCAGGAACTGGTGTGATGTTGCTGCCTTCATTTGTACCTTGCATGATGTTCAGTAGTCGCAGGTTGCTCTGAGTAATTTGTAAATGTTGTTAGGTACAATATATTCTGACTGCTTCTTCATTCAAATGGCCTGGATGATCTAACTACTTCTTGTTCTATGAATATTTTGTAAATCTTGTTAGGTACAGTATATTCCTACTGCTTAACGCTATGAATATTCTGTAAATGTTGCCAAAATCATGGACATTCAATTGAGAAAGAGAAGCATTTTACTCAAATTTCGTTCTTCATTGCATGGTCGGATGATTGTATTGTTGTAGCATTATTGTTTAGAATTTCGTTGGAATGGAAAGTTATCAAATACATTCATTGTGCCGTATAACACAAAAAGCAAGCATTGTTTAATGCTTAAAATCTGAAGCTGGAGGTGGGGGTTCATGTATGGCCTGTTAGCATATAAAGAATGTTAAAAGTCGATGACATCTCTCCGTCTCACTACATACACACAGATCATCTCATCATATATCAAACTATTCACAACGGATCTTTAAACAAATCTCAAACATATCCCAAAGATTTCACAAATTTCTAGAGACCAATTCCTAGAGATTCAAGTATTGAAGATTGCTCTGCCACCTTGCGGAAATGATTTCCAAATGATGAAAAGGCCAATTGTGATTCTACTAATTCTTGCTACAACGGTTCAGTAGTTGACAACTTCTCGGCCCGAATAGAGTTGTTCTTCCAAATTGCTTAGGGTTTTCTCATTTTACTTACCTTTCAATAGTAAGATTTGTCATTAGTTTACAATTCAACTATGATTTGGACTGGATTTATGCTTTGTAACCAATTCATCTTAATAGTTTCGGCCACGGAGGACGCTTGCAGGAAGTGATTCCCACGAGCATCTGCCCATGTCAAATTCTTAGTCGATTCCGAATTAGTGACCTTTCCTTATAGGTTTAGAGGACGAAAGCTTATATATATATAAAGCAAAAAGCAGAGAATAGTAAAACATTCAAAATACCAGAAAATACTCTTAGTTAATGAAAACATTAAGAATTGAAATTATTAATTAAATGAGGATAATATAGTAAATTCACATTTTTTATATATTTAAAAATATTAAAATTAAAAGAAAAATCAGATAATAGATCCTATTTTTATGGAACATACCCATTATCTTTTTTAATTCTAAAATAAATTTAAATTTTTTTAAAAAAAAGACTCTCACAAGCGTGTGCGGAGAGGCTAGTACTTCATTATTGCGAATTGTTTAATTATTTAAATCCAATGCTACATTTTTAATCTCATAACTAATATTTCCCCAACCCCAACTTCAAAACATCTCTCAATATCTCTCTTTGTATGAAATTGGATCATTTGTTAATTTTTGGCCCAAAAAATAAAATTTTAGTAGAAATTTGTATAAATTTTTTTTTTGAAAAAATAATAATAATCCAGTCCAAAACCAAACCAAACCAAAAATCGAACTGGAATCGATTCAAACCAGACCGGCCAGTTTCATAATTTTTTGTCACTAAAATCTGACCAAATTGGACCTGTTAAATAGTACCAATTTCAGTTCCAGTTTGAGGTAGAAATCGAACCGAACCGGATTGCGCCCACCCCTAACAATCCCTAAAATTTCAAACAATAAAAAATCCCTAAATTACATATCCAATAAATAATGTATCTATAGAAAATATAAATATGTATATAATATAGGTACCTTATTTGCAAAATATATATATATATATATATATATATATATATATATATATATATATATATATATATATATATATATATATATATATATATATATATATATATATATATATATATATATATATATATATATATATATATATATATATATATATATATATATATATATATATATATATATATATATATATATATATATATATATATATATATATATATATATATATATATATATATATATATATATATATATATATATATATATATATATATATATATATATATATATATATATATATATATATATATATATATATATATATATGTTACTTTGTAATTGAAATTTCTGTTAATTTTTTATAAATTAAAAATAGGTACATTATTTACAATAATAAATAAAAAAATTTAGGTCAGAAAATAGGTACGTTGTGTAATTGAAATTTCTGCACATTTTTCATAAATTAAAAATAGGTGCATTTTTTATTTTTTGAAAAAAATAGGTATGTTATTTATAGGTACACACAATAGGCACATTTACAAAAGATATGTAAAAAATAGGTATATTATTCATTAAAAAAAAAAGGGTGGAAAAAATAGGTACAAATAATAGGTACATTAGTTTATGCTAAAATGTGATAGGTATATTAAATGTTTCTTCATAAATTCCTTTTTTTTTTTGGTCAACTTTCTTCATAAATTCAATAGGCCCAAAATGTGACTTTTTAAGATTCTGAATTTTATTTTTAAAAAAAGAGAAAAAATTTACCCTAAAAATTCCTAAATTTAAGCCAATTTAAAACACCATTTTCCTATAAAACAAATACCATTTGAATATTAATGACATTGAATTGCAACAAATATGTTCAAAGTATATTCAGCAGGAGAATACAACAATTGCAAATACATAGGGGTATTTTGGGAATTTGAAATATTATAATAAATCAGATCTTGATCTTGATAAGGTGGATCCTAGTCATGGATTTTTACTTATAAAATATGAGTTTTCTTAATAGGAACAAAAAGTGATGGGTTGTTGTTGGGGAAAAATAATTTTTAGAAATCAGCCATTGTACATTCAAGCATTTTCTTGAGGCATTGCTCAAAGGTACCCATGTGGGATCATTAATTATATATGACATGATCAAGTGGACTAAAGGAGGTAGGTTGGCTATCATGAATACAACATAATAACTAACATAACTACGGTTTTTTTTTTTTTTTTGGTCAAAACATAACTAGGGTTTCTTCATGATATTTACGTGTTTTGTGCAACCTAGGCCCGGCCCACAGCCTGTGCAGGCTGGGCGACTCCAATTAAATAAAATAACAAATATTGGAAATTGGTTTTGAAAATCGATGGATGAACCCCTCGTCCAACCTTATCTTAAACAATCCAAAATACCTATAATGACCAATTACAAGTATCATGATCACAATTATAATAAAGAATGAAATTAAGAATATAAATTGATTAGAAATAAGATATTAACTCAACAACATAGAATCATCATGTTAGGCTACATCGGATTCCTAGCAAAGAATTTAGTTACCCATAGCCATCTTAGTTGGTGCGTTTTCTCCAAACCCTTGAACAATATGCTATATACTCCCCATGCCAAGAAAGAATAAGAAAATAAATAATTAAAAGTCCTAACCTATTTTGGACAACAAGTCCTTATTGAAAAAGGTAAGGAAAATTAAATAGATAACCAAAACAAATTAAACTCCTAAAACCACTTGGAGAAAACCCACATGCCAGCTTGCACTCAACGTCTCCATCATATCAAATCGCATCTCATCCCATATAAAAGAACTTCCTTATTTTGCTACAGCTCATCCACATCTCATTGGCAATGCAATTGACAAACAAAATATATGTAATTGCGATTCCACTTTGGGAAAACCAACCGCCTGCTTAGCAATTGCCAAACGAGATCTGTCATTTGATTATTCTCCTTTTTGGCTCATTTTCACCATATTTTAGCTCCAAATCACCTTTAGGGTTTATTTCCCACAAAACTCACACTAAACACATCAAAACAACCAATTTCACAGAAGAAACTAGTACAAATCATAGGAATATGGTATAGAAGGATATTGAAGGATATCGTTCTGGACGAAATATGGTAGAGCTGATGATGTTGATCATGTCCAATCCCTGTCCTTAGAAAGATAAAGGAAGAAGTAAAATCACTACAGATGGAACTAGAAATTTTAACATCCAAACACACAAAGCTCTTGATTTTTCAAATTCCACCAATTATGAGAAAAAGTCATTGTCTTGGATGAAGATAAAAGTGCAATCCCACATCCAGTTGATGTAGTATCAAGAGTTGTGGAAAAGGAAGCTGATCAATCTCTGCCTGCTCAAACCTTTGATGACAATATCGTTACACCTAAGTAAATTTCACAAGAATTTTCAATGGCTTCTTTGAATGATAATAGTACCTTGGTCAATGATGAAAGTGTCTCCAAAGAAATAACGAACCGTCATCAGGCGGAAGGCTACATCTAACGTCAGAGGATCTTAGTGCTGGAATTGTTTTCAAGAAAAGGGCAGGTTCCTTGTACCTTTCTTTTAGGGCATCAAAGCCTTTAGTGCATGATTGGATCAAAAATGTTTTTCTTCTTCTATGGTTGGCTAGGGGCATTCCTTTTGTCTTTATTTTTGGATGAAACGCCCATCTAAATTATAAATAATAGAACTTCTTAGATATAGTGATTTTTAAAAGCTTTGGAATCCCGACCGCCCCTTATGTTTCTTCTTTTTTCTTTTAAAGTTATGCTTGGACTTTGACAGGGTCTAGAGACCACTAAGGGCTCGTTTGGTACACAGGATTGGCTTGGACTAAATTTAGTACCATGTTTGTTTTATCTAATCCTAGTCTTAGATGAGATTGCTAATACCGGGCCCACCAAAAACACCTCCTTAGGAGGGGACTACTAATCCCATGTGGAAAGGAAGGATTAGCTAGTCCCAATGCCCACCAATGTATAAAATGCATATATTATGTTGTAAAATTAATAACATATATTATTATTATTAAACTTACTTACACATATACTATAATGTACATATATACATGTATATACACATAAATATATAATATATGTATATATGTATATATATACATACACATATATGTGTATATATATACATACACATATATACATATACATATATACATGTATATTATTATTATTATTATAATAATATACCCATATACACATATACACATATACATTATATATGTATTATATATATTGTAATATACATATATACATGTATATACATATATATATATATATTATAGTGTTTACAATTAGCTTGATATATATGATTTAATGTATACTTTTATTTCTAGAAAAACTACAGAAAATGTAAGTACAAAAAAAAAATTTATCATTAGATTTTAAGCTAATAACTTTAGCTAGCCCACCCATTGAAAAATTCCTGGTTTTGCCCTTGTTTGGTTGTGATGAGGGTATCACCTCGGTGCCCTACGTT